TCCTCAATCTTGAATTTTTTTATAGCTAACCATAATATTATAAGTGCACAACGCTTCACTTGATAAGAGGACTCGAGGGTGCTCATGCATGACGTTTTCAGACTTGTAATCACGTGACTGACCCTAAAAGCGCAAAAAAGTGGTTCGTCACGCCCACTTTTAAAAAGAGGACTTGTTTTGAACGTCACGTGCTTGTACACTACAGCAAGTTAATATAAGTTGACCTTTAAAATGTTTCCTTCATTTTCTTGGTATAGTGTCACACAGTGTGCTCTATTTCTATCCATTTTCAACGGAAACGCATGCCCTAACTGACTAAGCCTGACTGTCGGAATAAATATACGACACATGAATACACAAACTCACAGAAGTACTCTGGTGTCTTATTTTTATGCCCATAGGAGTCTTAAAATGTTAATAACCCTAGTTCCGACCATCAGCGATGACACCATCCTTTAGTGTCATGTAACAAAACACTACAACTCGAACAGCACTTTATTTAATCCCCTTTTAAGTGGTGGACGCTTAACATATTTGTCTTAGCCCTTGTCCTAGTATGGTCAAGGTCACACGTTAGCAATATAACACTGTTGTGACCGCACTTGGAAGTATAATATATACTTAGTGTTCATTGAACCAAGAAGATAACCATCATATTAACCCAAAACACCAGAAGATAACCATCATATTAATCAAAAACACCAGAAGATAATCAACATATTAACCCAAAACACCAGAAGATAACCATCATATTAACCCAAAACAACAGAAAATAACCATCATATTAACCCAAAACACCAGAAGATAACCATCATATTAACCAAAGACACCAGAAGATAACCATCATATTAACCCAAAACACCAGAAGATAACCATCATATTAATCAAAAACAACAGAAGATAACCATCATATTAACCCAAAACAACAGAAGATAACCATCATATTAACCCAAAACACCAGAAGATCACCATCATATTAACCAAAAACAACAGAAGATAACCGTCATATTAACCCCAAACTCCAGAAGATAACCGTCACATTAATCCTAGAATTACAGATGGAGTCCATCGTCAGATTTCTTTAAGTACATTTTTATAAACTGTTCATGAACCAAGTTGCTTTGTGGTCCATGTCTTTGTTGGTTTGAAGGTCCATGACTGTTGCTTATTTGGTCCTAATTAGCATACGAATAACAAAACAACAAATATCAATATTACAGTTATTTCTACTAATTACGGCTGGAATTTCCTGTCTATTTGACATGTAAAACTTCGCCCAGTTTTATTGACCAGTTCCTTAGACTAACTGTTGCAAGGAGAAAAAATATATAATTTTTCAGTAGGATGTAAAGAACACACCGATGTAACAACAAGTCGATAATTTAAGGGTTGGTGTTGTCGTTTGGCGTCACCGGTACGAAATATAAAACATATCTACATTTTTTTTTTCATAAATGTTGCCTATTCCTTGATGATAATTTGGTGTCATCCATAAACACTAATACAGTGGTTCAAAAAACTAGACAAGATAAGCACTAGCGTCGACCTTGAAGAGAAAAGAAACAAGATTGTAAACAGTGATATCTAAGTGTTTAATACTTAGTATATAACACAAACAGTCATATATCGCATTGTAAGAATAAATAACACTAATTTTGTAGTATTATCCAAAGTTGTGAACGTTAGTTATGTGTGTTTATACGTCTTATGTGGCCGTAAATACGGGGATTGAGACATCCTCCAAAATTCTAGTCTCATCCAAAGTTGTGAACGTTAGTTATATGTGTTTTATCAGCTGAAGGTTATGCAAGGAATGGTAATGCAACTCGAATCATTCCAAGTATAATATTTAATCTAAGTTTATATGCTTCCAACGCCCGTGGCGAGCAGAGCATTGTGTAGGTTTGCGCTTAACAACAAACTGATTTTGTAACAGTAATACAGGGGAATTGCATCTTATTGTAGGAAGAGACTAATATTTCGTAGATAACTATTTTCAGCCATTAGCCGAACCTAAAAAAAAAGACGTTTCGAATTGAATTGTTTGCTGTAACTGTAGTTTCTGGTTTGTAGGAAATAAGTTGTTTTAACTTTAGTTTTACCAATTTATAACAGTTCTACTTTAAAGTTACAGTCGAGAACTCGTGTAAATAAATAGAATACTGTGTTATCTGATTGCTTGGTTTAATGTTACATGAATACATTCTAAGATTAATTAATTGTGTAACTGGACTAAAAGACAACATTTATCTCACGAGGTGTAGTTTGAGTTGAGTACTGTATATTAACCGCTATCTTTAGCTAAATGGGGTGGTATAGAGGGCGCTTCAAATAAATATAAAACGTATCTAAATTAGGACAACTGTGGGTGTAGAACCCTGCTTAATGATATTAAAAAAAGAAAAATATGCACTTAATACTTTTTAAGCGTTTTATTTTATTATTGCTATCTAGTTGCATCTCTGGTTTTGAAATTGTTAAATATTTGTGTCACGTGATTTCTTTTGGATTGATATTCCCGATTCAACTAAACTTGTCACCGGATCAGCATATAACGGTTCTCTCAGAGTTCAAGGCCTTTCCTTCAATCAGCATATAACGATTCTCTAACAGTTCAAGGCCCTTCATTCTATCACCATATAACGGTTCTCTAACAGTTCAAGGCCTTTCATTATATCAGCATATAACGGCTCTAACAGTTCAAGGCCCTTCATTCTATCAGCATATAACGGTTCTCTAAAAGTTCAAGGCCCTTCATTCTCTCAGCATATAACGGTTCTCTCACAGTTCAAGGCCTTTCATTCTATCAGCATATAACGATTCTCTCACAGTTCAAGGCCTTTCATTCCATCAGCATATAACGGTTCTCTCACAGTTCAAGGCCTTTCATTCTATCAGCATATAACGGTTCTCTCAGCATTCAAGGTCTTTCAATCTATCAGCATATAACGGTTCTCTCAGCATTCAAGGCCTTTTATTCTATCAGCATATAACGGTTCTCTCACAGTTCAAGGCCTTTCATTCTATCAGCATATAACGGTTCTCTCAGCATTCAAGGTCTTTCAATCTATCAGCATATAACGGTTCTCTCAGAGTTCAAGGCCTTTCCTTTTATCAGCATATAACGGTTCTCTCAGAGTTCAAGGCCTTTCCTTCTCTTAGTATATAACGGTTCTCTCACAGTTCAAGGCCCTTCATTATATCAGCATATAACGGTTCTCTAACAGTTCAAGGCCCTTCATTCTATCAGCATATAACGGTTCTCTAAGAGTTCAAGGCCTTTCATTATATCAGCATATAACGGTTCTCTCACAGTTCAAGGCCTTTTATTCTATCAGCATATAACGGTTCTCTCACAGTTCAAGGCCCTTCATTCTATCAGCATATAACGATTCTCTAACAGTTCAAGGCCTTTCATTCTATCAGCATATAACGGTTCTCTAACAGTTCAAAGCCTTGCGTTTAAAATGTGAAATGAATCCTTCAATAAACCTCCAACACTTTGTAAAGTTCAGCTATCAACATGATATAGACTGAAAACTAAATGATGAAGGTGAAAATTAGTGAAGTGTTCAATCTTTTTTTTTCCAGGATTTATTGTAAGACATTTTATTTATTGAAAAATTACTACTACATTAAATGTTTCATTACTACTATATCATGATCTGTTGTAGTACAACCATGTTGCACTATGATTTTGGAGATTACTTCCGTGTTAAGTCATGATTTGTGGTAATACAACCATGTTACACCATGATTTTGGAGATTACTTCCGTGTTAAGTCATGATTTGTGGTAATACAACCATGTTACACCATGATTTTGGAGATTACTTCCGTGTTAAGTCATGATTTGTGGTAATACAAACATGTTGCACTATGATTTTGGAGATTACTTCCGTGTTAAGTCATGATTTGTGGTAATACAACCATCTTACAACATTATTTTGGAGATTACATCTGCATTAAATCATGATTTCTGATAATACTACCATGTTAAGTCTTGATTTCTGATAGTACTACCATGTTAAGTCACGATTTTTGGTAGTACAACCATGTTACACCATGATTTTGGAGATTACTTCCATGTTAAGTCATGATTTCTGGTAGTACTACCATGTTAAGTCACGATTTCTGGTAGTACAACCATGTTAAACCATGATTTCGGAGATTTCTACCATGTTACACCATGATTTTGGAGATAACTACCATGTTAAGTCATGATTTGTTGTAGTACTACCATGTTAAACCATGATTTCGGAGATTCCTACCATGTCACTGTTTATACATGCATTTTGACTCTAAGTTATATAGAAAAGAAGCTGAACTGTCTGTTTTCGAACTAGTTGCTTGTCATGAAACGCGGCGCGTGCAATATTCACTGTTTTTCGTTCTAAAAATAGTGAAAAGTCTATGACATTTAGATGAAAACTGCTAAAACAATCAGGTATAATAAAAACAGGCGTCGGTACAGTTGAGAAACGACGTGGAGCACATGCTATACGATTAATGTAAAAGCTGGGAAATACCTAATAAAGTATTTCTCTAAAGAGCAAAATAAATCCTAACAAAAACTTGTCTCTAGGGAGAATTAATTAGCAAAAACAACATTAGGGAATAAAGCAGGAGGAAATATAATAGTACAGAAAGATTTCGTTGTTCACATATTCTCCCAAAGTCGATAATAATCTGACAGTCAACCAATCAGTATGCAGCTTATTTGTTGAGCCAAAGAAAGTTCTTCTTCTGCATGTGGTTCAAAGACATTCGTTAGGATGGATGTCTTTGTGACGTTATTAGATCTAAACCATCAGCCGGTCTTCACGTGTATTTCTAATACAATGAATTTTCTGTCGATTTAATTTAAATTTGCTATTTACTGTATTTCAACAAAACCGAAACCTAATAATAGCCATGTATCTATATTTTCAGAAAGTTAACTAGTCGGTACCGGTGATCATGCTGAGACGCCCAGTGCCAGGAAGAACCCCGAGAGGCAAACATGTCCAGTGCAGAAGTCTGTAATCCCCTATCGACTTCTCATCCCGTAGAAACCAGTGGAGGAGTAATAGTGGCTCCTGGTGGCGAACATTTGTCTTCCCAGTCAGCATCGACGAAAACAAGTAATCTGTCCGAAACGAAGAATGGTTTTAGTGGCCGAAGTAGTCCAAACAAGGAAACTGACCCTACGCTAGCAAGAAAACCCGAACTTGGGGAAGTGTTTCGTGACTCGTACATTGATAAAGCTCGCGAAAAGCACGGTGAACTTTTACCCCACGTGATGCATCCAGGAGGGAGAGCAGCCGGTGTGTACCCTCAGCTACACAATGTGACACAACAACAACGGGCTCCCACCTTACCGACCCACCAAGGGTTGTATGGATTATCTCCACATTTAATTCCTCCCCCACCACAGGCCGGCAGGGCCTCCATTGACCCACATTCGGTGCATTCGCCACGGCACAGACATCTAATGCACACTCATCCCTTGCTAAACCCCCAATATGCCCCTGCTGTTAACTTAAGCATCTGGCCACACAAACATCCCCATTTGGTTAGTTCCCAGTTCATGATGCAAGGTGTTTCGGAAGAACTACTGATGCAACAAGAAAGGGAACGGGCAATTATTGAGAAGCAGCGGGCGTGGATTTTACCCACAGAAAGGTAAGAAACTGTTGTTCTTACAAATTATAATAGTCTCGTACAATGATGTGGCGAAGGTTAACAAAAGAGGGTGCTTGGCGTTCTTGTTTATTTAGTTAGTGATGAGAAGTCCATAGTTGTAGTTCATTGTTTGATAGAACACAAGGTCGAATTAATCTGGTGAAAATCAACACTTCGATGTAATTTACTAAGTTAGTTATTAGATTAATCACATATATTTATTTAAACAGAAATAGGGTGTTACGCAGAGACGGGGGTAGACTTCGTGTACACAAGGTTATTATTATTATACGGAAATAAAAAGTATTTTTTTATATCGCCATGTTGTTAGTTCCCCTTGAGGCTACCGCCAGTGGTAGATCACAGTTTTTACAAATAGACTGTGTAAGAATAGTGGTAGAGTATACACAGGAGTTAAAAGACAAAGCTATGAATGAAATGAAACACCCTTATAAATTTTAAATAACTAATTATAATGTTGCTTGTTGTAAATATAAATTTTGACAGAACGATTGTTAAAACCAAAATTTATTTGTGACGAAAGAATTACGTACTAGTATATTATTGTGAATTAAAAGTTTTAGCTTGCTAATTAAATATCTTACCGTTTTTAAGGTATGTTGTTACTGTTTTTTTTTTCTCCTCGTGACTCAAGTAAGATAAGTATCAAAAATGATATGCTACTTGTCACAAACCAATAGAAACTTTTTCTGTCCAAACATAATTTTTATCCTGTTTCTTGTTGAGGGTTCAAGTGGAGGAGGATATAGTTGAGGATTTGCACAACAAACAAAATACGAACATTTATTAGACGTTTCGGAATCGTCATAATTCCATCATCAGTAACCTAGGGTTACAAAACAAACAAACAATATTTGTAATTAGAACAGAAGTATATAAATAAGAAATATACAAATATAACACGAGAAAATGACAACTGAGGCACAAGTGAAATAGTTAAAATGGGTTTAAATCGAGTGAAGACTGTGTTATTTAGAGTTTTTATGTATAATGCTGTATGAAACCTTTATATCTGAGGTATTGCTGCATGACTTTAAAACGTATATTTACTTACGCTGCAAATAGCACAGGCAAAGTAATATACTTGTTGCGGGGTTAGATACAATGGAGTTTTGGTAATGCTTTCTACTAGACGGCAACTTATAATATTCCCTGTTCTTTGTCTCCCTCTCCTTAAGGTAAATTGTGAAATATATTGCATTTTAGTATTTTGCTGCTGTTATAAAACTTCTGTTAGAAACGTTAGTATCAAATATCTGATGTTTCAGGCTGTGAAACAAAAAAAATCAAGGATATTGCACATTTTAAACAGGAAAAAAAAGGTCACTCGTGAGAGTAATTCAAGCGCTATCTTTTTTTCTTTTTGTAACAGACCTTGGAATTTTCAACCAGCCAATCGTAGTCACCTAGCATTCCAGAACGAAGGGGTTACTAAGGGATCGCACTTTTAAATCATACTTCTAAGTTAAACAAAAGAGTAAATTCAACTTTTGTAAAAAGACAAACAATACGAATTTATTATAATTAAACAACAATGAAAAATTAATTTAAACTTGAAAATAACTTCCTGCACTTTATTTAGAATAAGATGAATTATTTAAAAACACTTTTTAACATCAAATATTTAATTTTCATTATATTTCTAAAAGGCCAATTGCAATAGGCAAGCAAGTACAAAACAGAGAAAAGAGATTTAAAATTAAATGTTATATTCATGATAATTGTATTGAGTTTAATTATGTTGTTTTGCTACGAACAATTACTGTAATTATTATTGAAGATAACAGTTTACGGAAAAGCTTTACTTGGTTCTAGGGGTTATTTATTAGGTTAGAAGTCAGGTAAATCTTCCGCCGACTTCGAATTACAGTTAATCAATGTGGCTACCTTTGTTTTGTATACTCCCCTTATTAGGTTTTTTTTTTAACAGCGACCTTTCTAAGTCTCACTTTGCATTGAAAACGTTGTTTTGAAATAATTTTGAGCCATTTCTTACACTTTAAAGAGGGCGTGAAAAGTATAAAATATATTATATCATCTAATAATAATGTTTCTCGTTTTAGTGTCAGCGGCGTACACCTTTTAGGCCTAATATTGTAACGAAATATGAATGATCGTACTGTTAATGATGAGGTAGTCAACTAACAATATAGTGACTAGTTTCGCCTATTTTAGAAACATCGTCATAGTGATGAAGGGAACAAGGTCGTGGTATTTATACAGATGGTGGTCATTTCTAGTGCAAAAAAAAGCTAAAACGTGTATGTATAATGTAAATTCGTACTTTTATTATCTTTCTATGCTGTCATTTCGGTTCATTTTGTAGTTTGAAGAGAGGCCAGAAAATGTAGCAAAATGGTTTTTCTGATAGTCTTGATTTTCACAATTTTCCGGGAGGATCATGCTCCCAAATCCTCGGGAAGAGTCGTATTTAAAACACAAGGTTACCCCTCTTCTTTACTAGGATCACCCACCTACATAATGAAAACTCTTTAAAGGGTCCTTTACAAATTACGACAAAAGTAACAAATGATTAAATCTGAAAAAAGTAAAATGAAAACTGGGATAACTTGTTAAAAAATGTATATGGCTGTATCACAAAATTTCAAACAATCTTTGTAAAATAAAACGTTTTAATGTTTCAGTTAACTGTATGTGTAATAAAATAGTTTCTTTACTTACAGGCTAGTTAAAGCATTCATTACCAGTAAAACAAACAAAAAATGCTTAATTTCAACATGTTCTATTTAAAAACTTCGACATTAAAAAGGGAAACAAGTGTATTACTGTATCTGCTAGTAGTACAATACATGTGATAAATTACTATATTCCCAATTCTGAAATAAAACTTGTTAATTAACGCAAGACATACTTGTTTAAACAAGCCTTCACCAGTGCCGTTTGGCCACTGTAAGATATCACATTTTATGTTGTTTTCACAAACAGTGTACTTGAACATTAATTTTGTAATTCTGTTTCTAAATATTGCCAGTGAATTACGTTTGACATATTATTTATTCGAACTGACAGTAGTGTTTTGAGTTATTGTTGTTAGATTTTAGTAGTAATATACTTATCTTCACATTGCTACTTTAAAAACAGTGATTATCGAGCTGTCAGAGAAATACCATGAGAAAATTAAATCCGATTCTGAGGGAAAAGATAAATCACAGATTTTTACACGACACTGATTGAAATCGCAGAGAACGAATAAGGAGGAATGTGTGGATATAAAACATATGCCGTTAACATGATTTTTAATTCAAATTTTAGGCCTATTGATTTTAAATCGTATTTCTGTCATAACTTAATCACACTTTAGTCATATGCTCGGCCCCAGAGTTCGTGTCCTTTTGCCCCCAAAGCTCGCTTCATATGTTGGCGGTTAGTGCTGTTGAGTAGCTGCCATCCCACTAGTCTATCGGTTCAAATTTAAGGACGGCTACGCGTAGGTGATTGACCCTTGTGTTGTTTTGCGCGAAAATTCTAAACATATTTTTTTCGTTATACTGAAAAATATTTTATATTAATAATATCAGTTGCTTAAATCTAATAAAAAGTAAGCATTATTAGTATAGAGTCATGTTTAAGTGCGTTGTTGTCAAGTTTACGATTATTTCCAAATCACCGTTTTCCTAGTCTGCCTTTAGGTGCTTTGCGTAAAGCGATTGCTTTTTGAGGATGTCATCAACAGTATCGTGTTATTTTTCCCCGATTTATGCTCCAATATGTGTTGTATTTCAAGTAGAGAACTCGTAAAGAACTAAAACTTTTTTTGTTTGCAACAATCGATACATCCACGAAGCATGTCAGAAATACTTTACTTGAAAGTAAAGTAACCTTGTGTAACATTTTCCGAGAAACAAGTCCTTCTCCCTTTTCAACCCCTTTGAACAGTTTGTTTGGCACGTTTTCCAATGACGTCAACCAGTCACGTGCACTTTTCGTTTCTTAGAATAATAAATTAGCATTCCTTCTGTGAGGAGTGAGGGGTCTCCCGTATAATGTTGCTCCGCCTACAAATTTCCTGTTTTTATACATGCGTGTGTGTGTGTATACATACACACATATATATAGATATAAATATACCATCCTTCAAGTGGAACCGATGTTTGGAGACACAGTAAAATGGAACAGTTAAAAATAGATGAGTTGCCAACAACGTCATAGCCTTTTTGCTCGTGAACCGCGTTTTCACTCTTTTGTATGTATAAGTGTTTTCCAGAGTGAAATACATGCAGGTATTTTACTAGGTTTCCTGTACTATTTGGGGGGTATCTCGAATCCAGTAACACGTTCTTATAAGAACCAGGCTGTCAATGGCAATGTACCTCGAAATTATGTTTGTAAAGTAACTGCCATAATTATGATTTTAATACACGTTAACGAACTGTCCAGTTAGATTAATAACATAATCTTGAATTTTGTTCAGTCTAACGTTTAGCGCCTCTGACGGGATTCCTTGCAAGTAACTGATAATTGTTATGATTTAATCGGTTTATATCAACTATGATAGTAATTGAAAGTTACTTAAGTGAGAGATAACGTTTTAAATAAGGGAATATTTTAAAGAATATTATGTTGAGGCTGAGATATATATGTTATTAAACAACCACGTTACTCACTCCACTGCTGGACAAACTTTAATCTTATCACAAAGACTTCATTTAATTTGGAAGTTCGCTTATCCTTACCCATTTTTTTTTCTGCATCTCTCTCCTTGTAAACTATAATTTAAACAATTAATAAGCATATACGTTAAGAAAGATGACAAAAAATAAACTTTTTTTGGAACCAGTGCCGAACATGATTATTTCCTAAAAACGTTCTTAGTAATTTCTGCTGTACACAGTGAAAGTTCGTCTGATTCAGGTTGCACATGCGTTGATTCACATTTCAAAAACTTAGTAATATAGGTATGAAATCCTTATATAAGCACACGTAAAACTAACAACCAAAGGAAAGAAAAACTCGTTATATTTATTCGCGATGCTCGTGCAGTGGGTTTTTAGAACGGCGCCCCCTATATACCAATTTTGTGCAAAAAATGCCACTTTAATAAAATGGAAAAAAAGTGTAACTGTAACATCCAAATTTTAACATAAAAAAGGTGGGATTGTAACGTTTGAATTTAGGCGAAATAAGTGTTATTGTAACATCTAAATCTAGACAGAAAAATTGGGATTGTAACAAATAAACTGTAACGGAAAAAGGGGATTGTCATATGTAATTTTTAACGGAAAAAGGTGGGATTTTAACATTTAAACTAACGGAAAAAGGTGGGATTTTAACATTTAAACTAACGGAAAAAGGTGGGATTTTTAACATTTAAACTAACGGAAAAAGGTGGGGTTTTTAACATTTAAACTAACGGAAAAAGGTGGGGTTTTTAACATTTAAACTAACGGAAAAAGGTGGGATTTTTAACATTTAAACTAACGGAAAAAGGTGGGATTTTAACATTTAAACTAACGGAAAAAGTTTGGTTGTTACAACTAACCTATAGTGACAAAAGTGCGTGTACTGCTCTAGAACAAGGAAAATATATGTGCCGGGTTACTTGAGTTGTTTTCATCGAATTTATTTTGATAACTTGAAATATTGCATCATGTCGTTATCCTGAAGAGTGGATGAAAGAGTATTTAGAAAGCTCAGAGGAGTTTTGTGATTTGTTTAGATATTTGTGACCTTAATTACTTTACAAAATTATTTAGAAACAGTTGTCCTAAAAAAAAAAAAGTGTAGAAACTCTTGTTTTTACGACTCTGTACTTTTAGAAAGAAAAACGACTGCCAGTCACAGCCTTATCGAGTGACATACTCCAAGCACTGTAATGGCGAGCCTAATCTAGGCTAGATCTCAAGGTCATCCACTTGTCACACAGCAAAGCTTAGAGCGCTGTAGCCTGTACCACTTATTCAAAGCACACATCTGCCTCGTACGATCCTGAAGCAGCGCAGAAGAGATATGAAACGAAACACGAAATCGTGAAATTCCATGTTAAACAAGAGGGAATCCTCAATGACCGCGGCACTTGAAGTTCTTTAATCTACAAGATCTTGGGCGTAATAAAATAGATCAATTGAAAGGGTTTGACCTCGTGAGTCCAAAACTAACTACATCTCAAATCGGTCATAAAATGGCGGATCTATAAGCTAAAAGTTTGTACTTAAAAAAAGAAAACAAAATTCAGAGCCGTCCTTTGAGCCGCTATGCCGCGGCTAAAAATGTTAGATGTACTTAGCTCATAAACTATGTCAGTAGAAGGTATGACGTAGTGGGCAGTTTGTCATCAAGTCATTACTTCGAATGTAAAATATATTTTTTCGTTTACAGATTTTAAGGTTTTTAGTCCATCAACAAATATTTTATATTAAATGTTTTAGAAACATAAGTTCCTTTGAGGTTTAAAATAAAATGTCAGTGGGTTCTTGGCGATTTACTTAATGTCTGTTTTCTAAAGAAAATTTGTAAGCGTAATATATTATTGTTTATAATAGTATTTTTAGAACAAACAAATAATAATTGTTTTTCTTTCTGCATCTGCCAAACATTAGAGTAACATAAAACACTGAATAAAACCGTAATATGGGTTTATAATTTATTTATTTTTTTGGATGGTAAACATCATAATAAGTATCCTAAATCACTGGCCACTAATTACTGTTTACTATGTTCAGTAATTTGCTGCCAAAAATACCTTATTGTAACCATTTTTCACGATATTCTTCTCTTCCGTGTAGAATGGTTTAACGCGGCATTATTTGGTATTTAGAAAGTTTAACCCGAATACCCCTTATGCGACATATCAGTTAAACGGCCAGTTCACAGTTCTCAAGGTTCGGGCATAGCCATCCTTTATTTAGAATTGTTGACCAGAGGGAATATTACCTGTTGCCTGTGCATGGCTGTCATAACTGAATAGCGGAATTGACTGCAAAAATTATAACTCCTCTTCAGCTGAAAGTACGGGGAGGCATATCGTGATTCGAAAATTTGACGTTTTGATACTTAGCTCAGTACTTTTTCCACCAGGACAAATCAAACATGATAAGGCTTTTTAAAAAATAAATTTAAATGATGACAAAGTTTTTGTATATTAATAACGTATAACATAGTTTCATAAAACTGGCAACTTTCTAGACCGTATTGTTAATATCTAAACGTTGTTACTAGTAAGGATAATAACCCCTGAATGTCTCAGTGGTCTGAGGAACTTACATAGATCATGCTTGCAGAAAAACTCGTGGTGAGACGATGGCGCGCCTTTAGTTTTCTTAAAAATCACTAACTCAAGCATAAGTCCATTTTTTGAGTATTAGAAATATTGATTAGCAGTATGACCTTAACACCTTTTTAAAGGTCAAAGTCATAGCAAAAGTCCAAATGGAAGCACAGTCTGTCTTGAGAGTATATGCACGCAAGGTTAAATCTCTACAAATAAGCTAGTAGACCCGAGATTGATGCTATGTCAAGTCTTTCAGCAAACATTTCTGATTCAAATTTGAAGTTGCTTTACAAACAGTCTGTTTGTTTATCTTCCAGACGTGTCAGATTTCAATTATTTCGTTTAGCCTATATTTAGAAATATTCTCATAATTTATCTTCAGCTTCATCTGGACGCGACAAGTCTACTGGGTTAATACCTTGTTACCCTTTGCTGGCTGAACGTGACGGGTGAAATCTGTAGTATCTTTATAATAACCTTGGTACTTTTTATAGAGCCCAGGTGTATTTTGTTTATCAGCTTTTCTTCGTTTGACAATGATAGGTTAATACTGCAGTATTAGTTATTTAGTCTTTGAACCAATATTTATGCGTTTGTTTGTATGTTTGTTTATATATATGTGTGTGTGTGGTTTCAGGGATAAAAAAGATGAAAAAGAAAGGTTGGAGCAGCAGAAGAACGAGAGAGAAAAACATGAACAACAGCGGCTGGACAAAGAAAGACATGAAAGAGAGAGACAGATTTCAGAGCATATTACAGGAGAGCGTAGCAACCGGCCTAAGGTTTGGGAAGAGAAAGAAAGAGCTCAGCGAGAAGTGCAGTTTCACTTCGAAGAATCATTGCGATTGGCAAATAATAAGGTACTATGATAAGCCTAACGTTAACAATTATGTAAATAACTTCTACCACAAGAACTGGTAAAAGTGCATGTTAATAATTACAATTAATAATAAATAGCCGTGTGTATGAATAACAAGTAAACTTCTATACCCACCCTGTTCAAGGTCACCAGTTAGATACATTTGCTGTTAGCGCGTGTTCGGCCCTCAACTCAAGAGCACTTGACGAAGTTTGTCCAGGTTAGCACCGGCGCTGAGTTGACGCTTCGTGCACCACGTCTATCGTACTTGGCCAGTGTAATTACGAAATGAACATTATATATTAAAATAGCTAACACTGGATTATCAAAGTACTTATTGGATTATTTAAAATCAATAATGTAAATTATTATAAATTAGGATAAAAGTCCATCAAAAATGACGGGAACCATTGTTGAATGATTAACGAAAATGACAGAAATTAACTAAAACAAATTTATCTGTATTTCCACTCTTCACTTATTTCTTCATTCTCGAAGTAATTCTTTAATCACCACATTTTTAGGAAAAACTACGCAAAAAATGAAACGTTATCGTGAATAAAAGTACGTGTGCACTCTGAGAGAGATTTAAAATAGCACTTTTGAGCCTTTTCACTGTATTCTAGATCAGGAAGTAGAAAACATAGTGCAGATATTCCGACACAAATTTTCATCCCTTTCGACTAAACAAAAGGTAAAAGATATTTGGTAGTAACAAACGTTTATTTTTCATTATGTTTTAAGGCCAAGTAGATAATATATGTGTTAAAATACCAAAATAATGTTTATTTACCACTTAAAACTTTTTAAACACTAACTCTATAACGTTAGTAATACTAATAGTAGGCCTATTTGTAGTCTAATTTAGGCATTAGGCCTTATACATAAACGTAACGTAAGGCTTAGCTGAAACACTACTTGATAAATTTTAACATAACACAACATTTGGGACAACATGGGACCTGTTGGTCCATCTCGGCTGTCACATCCTCTAAACTAAACCAAAACTAGTAATAAATATATTTAAAAAACTTAAAGCCAGCCCTTATCATTCACAGTAGGTATCAAGCATTCTCTTAAACTCGCTTAAATTTATTACCTCTACAACATCCGAAGGCAACCCCTTTCAAAGGTCAACCACCTATTAGAAAAATAAAACTGTCTTAGCTAACCTGCCAACGTTTATATTTGTGTTCCCTAGTCCTACAGTTCTCACTGTTAAATATGAAAAAAGATGAATATTCAACGCTATCAATTCCATTTACAATCTTAAACGCCTCAATCAGATCTCCCTCTAACTTTTCTTTTTTCAAGAGAAAACAGTCTGAGAGATTTCAACTTGTCCTCGAATGACAACCCCTCCATTCCAGGCACCATTCTAGTAACCCTCCTCTGAACCCTTTCTAACAGTTCAATGTCCTTCCTAAGGTAAGGAACCCAAGACTGAACACAATACTCTGAAGGTGACCTACCCAGTGACCTATACAATGAAATTATAACCTCTTTAGATTTGTATTCAATATTTCTGTAGATGCACTTAAAATCCTATTTGCCCTACCACTAGCACACTGTTTGGATGGTTTAAGAGACTAATAAACTATTACATCAAGAACCCTTTCTTTCATGTCAGTGAAATTATGATAACCCACATGCATTATTATGCATTTATTATAATTAAAACCCCTTTGCCATTTATTTGCTCAACTCACTAAATGATCTAAATCCTTTTGAAAATCAGCAGCATCCTCTTTACAGCTAGCAACACCCAAGACCTTAATATCATCTGCAAATTTAAGTAGTTTATTGAACATTTATTTTGCTTTTGGCTACAAATCAATGTCGTAAAACTTCTGAATTAAACTATTTTGCTGTTATATCACCGAAGCTATCAACATGAACATTGATCATTCAACATAAACACCATAGTTGGCCTAAGAACAATACAGATGATAGTTTTGTTGCTAAGGGACAATGTATATTGTTGCATATTACCAAAAAAGGAGTGTGAAAGCGTTCTCGACAGAGTGACAAAGGGAATAAGCCTTTTATAGTTTGTGATTACACATGCGTTTTATTTAGCATGTGACAAATTCAGGCTAGTTGTCCACAGAACAATAGCACAGCCTGTATGAATATACACTCTTATTGTATTTGGCCCAGTTTTACCAGTTTCAAACAACCATAACATTTGAGGGTTACCTTGCTAAAGAAAATCTACCCAGCTACCAAAATGGACTTTACAATGGGGACCAGTTCTTAAGATAATTTAAGTAAAGTTAGATAAAAGTCAGACATAATTTGAAATGTGTGCTAAATGCTTGGAGTAGCACTAAAATGAGTAAGGTCAGGATAAAGTGTGAACGATTAATTGTTTAGGTTTGTGTTAGAATATATTCGTCTAAGATGAAGTTATCTATATCATACCAATTAAGCGATTATATTACACTGTAATAAACAATTAACTCGGCATGACTTGTGTTAGAACTTTGAAATCTTGGCTGCTTTATGCTTAGGTTTGCGTTATATTGTGTAATACAAGGATAAACAAAGCTATTCATAATACGTTGCTAGTATATTAATTCATAAAATCAATATTCATAATTACCTTATTGAAAATTGTATTAAAAGTTGCAGAATTTTCAATGTTATACACTTAAATTAAAAATGTATTGTATTTACTGTTCATATGATCCAAATCAGAATTTTATGACGTTGTATATTGGCAAAAGTATTATTATTATTACGTATTGATTCAAAGCGAGTCGAAATTTTGAGTTGCATCATATGTTTGAAATTACGTTATGATCTGACTTAAAAATAACATTATTTTAAAAACACGAGCACAAAAATCCTAACCTTTTTTTTTCTTCTGTAAACTTATCAAAGCTGTTATATATATTGAATATTATAAATTATTAGATATTTAAAAAAAAACGAAGTGGATTGAACGTTGGCGAATATTTTGCCCTCGATATCGTGTGTTTTACCGAATTATATTTATAAACTTCGTGAATATTAGGCTTAGCGTTTTGTATTTGCTTATGACATTGTCCTACTTATTATATGGAATTAGTTGTATTATTTCTTCAGTTATCTTTAGTTTTAATATATCTGTGAAGTTATTGGTAATAACGAATCGAACACACTGGATTACGACCACGTACTAACAATAACGTAGTTAATAGTTTAGATAATTTATTAAATGTTATTCTTACTAAATATAGTATTAATACGTTTTCGAAATTGACAATAGGTCTAAATTATGCCGCCTATATTAATGATGATGCCCCACCATCTACTGAAAATTGCGATTTTGCGACGGCGATATTGTAGATTAGCGTGTTTCCGCAAGTATTTTAATTAAAGGGACAGAGGACTTACACGCACGTGTCACTTAGCAACCATTCCATTCGATTACCGCCGAAATTCAAACTGCACGAGATGAATAATGAAAGAGAATTTCTTTGCAAAACTAAGAGCTAATAGACAATGTTTCTACAAAAATTCATAAATTAACAGATAACTTTTTCGAATACTGCCTTCTTTGTTTTTAATCAAACCGCAAAACAAACAAGCTAGGCCCATTGCCAATGCAGATATGACGTTATGTAGTTATACGACAAAATGAAGAGATAAAAAAGCAAATTTCATCACAAGACTAAAAAATTTTGTAAATAACGTTTTTGTAAAAATCATAAAATAGAACAATGCTGTTAACAACTTCACAATTATCAGTTAAAAACATTTAAGGGAATCTGTAGAACTTAGAAATACTCAGGAGTATTTGATAATGCTGTAATTGAGATAACGTAATTCACCAAAGGCCCATCAGTGGCACAGCTGCATGTCTGAGGAATTACACCGTCAGAAAAACCGGGTTTCGATACCAGTGTTGGACAGAGCACAGATAGCCCATTGTGTAGCTTTGTGCTTAAACTACAAACAAATTCAGCATATCACGTGAGAACGAGGATAAATGTTCACTGGCTTTCTATTCTCTTAAAAAAATAAATAAAGAGTTTAGATTGACATTTGAACTCTGAATCCCTTGAGATATATAACATACTGACAACAAGAAACCATCTGATCCTTCAAGGCCATCCCTGTGTACCAACCCATGACACAAAGTAAAAATTTAGTTCCACTCATTCTTTTGTAAGAAATAACTTTTATAAGGTAAAGAAACGTCAATTGTACACACTGTTCCAGGAGAGGGCTAATTAGTGATACATAATTACATATTTTAATTTGTAATCAGTGTGTCTGTAAATACACCCTAAATTCTGTAAGCTTTACAAATAGAGACAGAGCACTGCCTTAATGGCTTGAGTAACTTAACCATCCCTGTGCCAAGATCCTTCTCTTCAGTCATGCTACTGCATTTCCCATCTGTGTTAAATATGTGAGTTTCACATTATTGGCCAGCTGGTTTTGATAAGCCATTTTCCATTTCTTTCTTAACCAAATCCCTAGAGTTGTGTAAAAATCTCAAGTTACCTGTCAATTTAAACATGTGGTGTTTACCCCTGACTTTCTTTTTCATTTGTTTACTAAATCAGTTAGGCTTGATCTTCTGTGTTACCATTTTTTTTTAAACATGTCTATCTTGTATTAAAGTAATTTATTTTTATAAATTTCATAAATATGCCCAACGTCAAGTTTTAACTCAATATTATCCAAATTCACTAATGATAAATCTTGTGCCTTGGCCTCAAAATAGGTTTTCTGAAAATAAGGAACTAAAATTTCATTTTTTATTTCAACTTTAGCAAAGTATCTAATCAATGATAATTTTTCCTAAATGTTCATGCACTTCAATCCTTGCAACCTCATTAGTGGCTGGTTGTTTAAAAACAATCCTAAATCACTTCAACAAATCTCTCTCCCTCACTACTTTACTTCAATCAATGTGTCTAAAATCAAGCTTCCATAATTATTGCATCATTATTATTTTTAATAATAACAACCCTGGTCTATTATACAATTTCTCATTGATTTTATCTGTTTGATAAGATGACGTGTAACGTGTAAATCTGACTACCATTTTTTATCTCCATTGCCAACAGACTGCAGTTCATCCTTTATATAAAGAGCTTTTCAACTCCCCTTAATTAAAAAGTCTAATTATTGAATAACTCGTAATCTGGAATTTCAAAGTAATTCCTAATAACAATTTTTTCCAAGTTCATAATAGTACCATGAGATTGATGCTGTATAAACTGAACTACCAGGACTAAAGAACACTCCTGAAATACATACCTAATTACTATCATTTCTATATGAAAGCTTAACAATTATTTTATTTAATTTTAAAATAAAGCAAAAATTTGGATGGAAGTAAGATATAAATGATGGAGTAAACTTTAATGGTTTGCTTTTTTCTTATCTTACAGAAAAATTTAGGGTGGAGCCATATCTCAAACCTTCCTTTGACAAAACATTCATTAGGACAGAGATCAAGTCCAGCATTAAGTAGAGCCCCTCCATTAACACTACAACCAGTTGAAAGAGACACTGAAGAAAGAAGAAAAGATTGGGTTGAAATTGAAGCAGAAGAAAAAACAGGTAATTTGTGTTCCTATAGATTAATAGACTTTTCTTACTTCAATTTTACATTATAAGAATTTCAACCTTTTTCTTTTATCCATATCTTCTATTTTTGTTTTTATTCCTGGCACTTCTCTAATGTTTACTGAGTATTAATTAGTTAATTAAAAAGGTAATTAGTTTTAAAAGTAGTCCAGCGATTATAAGAGGCATTGCTCTAATGTTTACTGAGTATTAATTAGTTAATTAAAAAAGGAATTAATTTCCAACTGTTATAAGAAACTATTCACCATATAAAACTGTAACAGAACTGAAACATAATTTTTGGAAAACTAATAATATCAGGGAATTCGAGAAAAATGTTACATTTTTGTTGTTTTAAAGTTCAACCTGCCAAAATATGTTAAGTTTTTAATATTATAAGTTAAAACATACCAAACATGTTAAATTTTTATTGTTTTAAAGTTCAATCTGCCAAAACTTGTTAAATTTTTAATATTATAAGTTAAAACATACCAAACATGTTAAATTTTTATTGTTTTAAAGTTCAACCTGCCAAAACTTGTTAAGTTTTTAATATAAGTTAAAACATACCAAACATGTTAAATTGTTATTGTTTTAAAGTTCAACCTGCCAAATATGTTACATTTTTAATCTTTAATATTACACTTGCCAAAAAAAGTTCTAAGTTTCTTAGCGTTTAAGAGATAATTAACAAAATCTTGGGGTTCTTTCTTTGATTTATAAAATCATCTTGTAACTAACATTTAAAATTCCAAAAACAACCCAATAGGTCTGAAAAACTTAAATGTAACATGTTTAAATTATTTTTGTACTGGGGGGGAGAATTAAACTTGTATAGCGACTAGCAAGCAAAATCTAAAAAATACTAACCAAGTTTTAGAAAACTTGTTTGTGTGTGTTTAAGCACAAAGTTACACAATGGGCTGTCTGCACTCTGCCTATCACGTGCGTTAAACTCCAGTTTTTAACATTATATGCCCTATAGTCTACTGCTAAGCCATCGGGATCTGTTGTGAAAGTCATAATCTATGAAAACATTTTTTGTTTGTTTCAGAATTGCGGCATTGAATGGAATTGTAGAAGTGGAACCCAAACATTGGATGCAGCACCAGAGAGTTCTGGAACAAATGCAACATACCTCACAGATGTCTGGCCCTCCAGCTGAGGTAAAAAAACAGAATAAACTCCATTGTAGCTGTAGAATGTGCAGAAACATTTCCAATAAACCAAATTACAGTGAACACTTAGGACATATTTTATACTTTGAACATGAAATTTGTTACAAGAAATTGAAGATAAATTTATTTGAAATTGTGTGTACGTGCATTGAAGCAGAGAATTAATTAATTTAGTGTTTAGTTAAGAGTGCAACTAAAAGTTAATTATTAAATATAAAACAGTTTACAAACAGAAAGAAATCAACAGTTAAAAAAAAGAAAATAGGAATTAATATACCACCATTTTCTTTGTAGAACTTAAGAAATCTTGACAATAGATTGTAAAATTATGCAGACAAGTCAATAACCTATAATTCACTTAAATATAACTTTAACCACTTTGCAATCAGGCATTTTGTGTTCTCAGGAACAAGGGGAAAATTAGGAAATTTAACCTAATATGGATCTTTATTTTATTGAAGGAAGGCTGGCCTTACAAGCCATATATCATAAGATTCATTGTAGAAATAGTGGGTGTACCACCCCTATGGTAAGCAAGTGGTTAAACAAATAAAAAATGAAAATAAATGAAATTTTTATTGTAGAAGGCCAAAAGCTAAAAGTCAAGAACTTATTTTTTTCCTTATGCTGATCTGACTTGTATTAATTTTGTTCTTGAATTATCTTAGGTGTAACTCACAAGTCGTTATTTTACAAATACAGTGTTAGCTGAGACAAAAGACAAATATTGATATAAGTTGCTTCTTTGTAGCTGAATGAAACATAATTTATGTGTTATTCTTATGAATATATACTTGTGGTGACATGTTGTTTGAATATTATTAGATAACTTATAGGAAATTTCAATTTACTTTTTTATCAGTAAAGCAGTTAATCAATTAATTTCTGCTACAGTCTCCTATATATTTTATAGAGGCAGTGGGTGATTTTGCTAATTTTTGTTATCAATTCTTTGTATTGAGTATACTGCAAAGAGTAAAGACATACAACTACTCAAGTTATGCAGTATATGGATCCTTCTGGAATAATAAACAGGAAAAAAACAAGTCTGTAATTTGAGAGTTAATTAAGAATGAATCGAATTAAAAATATTCTTTACTTGTTTGATGTATGTACTTTATTCCTAAAGTTTAACAGTTGAAATTTAAACTAGAAAATATTTTTAGCCTTATCAGCCAGTGGCCAAGACAAAGATTGAGAGTTATATCCAGAGAGTGAGTTCTCCAAAGGAAGAGGGCAAAGTCTCTGTGGTTTGTACCAAGCCAAGTTCTCGAGTTAGTCCTATAACAAGCACTGTTGCCTCCAAGCTTGAGCCGAGCTTCAATATCTATGGCTACCAGGGTTATCAACCAATGTATCTTTTTCCATCTCAGCTGAAGGCAAGAGAAGGTCTTGGGTAAGAACAGTTAGCTAATGTATTTCTTACCATCTCAACTGAACTCTAGAGAAGGTCTCGGGTAAGAACAGTATATTATCACACAGGATGTTTGCAAGTTAACTAGTAGATGCAAGTAGAAAGACATCTCAGGGTTAAAAACATCCCGTTAATGTATTAATTTAAGGTCAAAGTAATAGAATCTTGTGTGTATTAGGAATATCTACTCCTAAAACGACCAGTGGAGGGTCCCTTTCTAACACATTTTTTCTAAATTATTTATGCACCAAATTGCTCGTGGGTCCATGACTTATGGACTAAAGGGTCCATATAATAAATAACAAGTACTATGAATATTGCATTTGATCTTGTTAATTATGTCAGGAGTTTCCCGTGTGATGGCACTCAGTTTTTATGGCCAGTTCTTTATGATGAGTGATATATAACAGTAAATAAACAAATAAATATGAAGTGAATGATATAAAAAATGAGTCAGTAATTGGAGGGTTTATTCATTGCATTCTAGTAGAATAAATGTACAGGATACTTCCTTACGTTGCTAGGTTTACAATGTATGGCTTTAGTCATAAATGTTGACTAAGTCAAGTCTGAGTGGTGAGTTTCTCATTGATATGCTTAAAGGTAAGTAAGAGTTTGTTAAATAATTTAGTAGTTTAACTTAACTGTTTTTTAAAAATAGGTAGATTTCTTGCTCAGAGTGTTTTCAAATTATGTTTAATTGCCTAATATTTTTCAAGAGAAATGCACGAAGTTGAAGTGTAGCCTCTGCAACATAAATTATTTTGTACAGTGAATTGATGTTAGGTAACACTACCCCTCTTAAGTTATTCATGAAAGTGCATATTGAAGCTTGTGTGACATGAAACAGGAGATAAATCATAAAGATGAAAATTTTGTATTACAACTTTTGTACTCTCACTCTAGACATTTTTCCCTTCTAGCTCTTCAGTGACAGAAAGAGCTTCTGTTATGCCTCAACTTAACTACCCAGCAGACAGTCGGCGTAACTTATCACTGACTAGATCTCCTTCCATGTCTCCAAAACAGCAAAAAGTTTTACAGGAACGTATTAGTCCCAAAATTCAGCTTCCAGGAGAGAGTATTAAGAGCCATGAGTACTTTCAACCAACTCCTGCTCATCAAAACTCATCATCTCCTAGCTTGCCAGGAAGAGCAGGCACTCCCCAGTACCAGGAACAACCCCAGAATCTGGTAAAGTCCAAACAAAACAGAATGACCAACGTTCATCCACAACAGGAGCCTTCACCCCGAAATCTTACACATTCCACAACAGGTGTTTCTCGGAGATACCAGCCATCCCCAACACCACCAAAGTGTTCAGTGACAGCTTATCCCAGTAGCCTGATTCAGGCAGGGTTGGTACCTAATCCAATGTATTCTTCGTCTGTAGCGGGAACTGTCAGTAATTCAGCTTTGAAAACTGGACTGTATGCACATGAAAGATCCGTGCCATTAGTTATAGACACAAGCTCAAACCCATCTCTAGTCCAGAATAATGTTACTTGTGCACAAGTCAGTGGTATTACAACAGGAATTCCAGTTTGTAAGCCAAATACCAACAGTCATGCTTTGGTTTATCCTCATTCACTGAATTCTCAGTGGTCTCAGAATTCTAACATACAACAAGTTTCACCTCCACCACAAGCCAGGATGAATAGCAGTTCTCTCTCTCTTTTCCCACCAAGTTCTTTAAATAACTTATCACATCATAACTGCTATGCTAGTCCAACTCTGACCCCACCAGCACCTAGTCCTGCTACTGTTTCAACTCCAGTGCGTCCCAATTCCAGTCCATCTGGTCCAATGGTGTCTAGTAATTTTTCTTTGACAGATAAAAAGCGTAAATCTCCAACAGAAAATCTTGCTACTAAAAGACAGAAAACAGAGAATGATTCTGAATCTCCCCCTCAACTCCACCCAAATTTTCCATCTGATTCAAGAAATGATGAAAACCCTTCTCCACCAGCTTTGAATATCATATCAAGGTCCCCTCTTACTTGTGAAGGTTTAGGGGTCTGTGTTCCTCAGAGTGGTATTACTCTTGGTCCACTTGTAAAAAATCCACAATTTAAGAAAGAAAATGGCTTTGATGTGTCTGATGAGCTCAATAACTTGAGTACTAAAAAAGTTCAGGCTAATGAGTCGATTTTTGAGAGTCAGAACTCTCAGTGTTCCAGTTCTAAAAACACTACTAATCATCCAAAACTGAAGAAAGCTTGGCTTCAACGACATTCTGAGAACAAGGATAAAATGTTCCCAGATGAAGCTGAATCTGTTGTGAAAAATCCTGGTGCAGCTGTATTAAAGCTTGAAGATTTAGACAGAACATTTCATGAAATGAAAGAATCCTCATTTGACAAGCTTTCATCTGGACAAGATGAAAGTTCTGATGAAAACCCAAAGGAAGTACAAACTGCAGTTAATGGTAACCAGTCGTCTTTTCAGAACCAGGATAAACTTGACTCTGTTGAAGATGGAGAATGTACTAAGTCTACCTCTGACACTGAACAGGAATTGTTGAAACAAAAAACCAGAATATCTCAAAGACAAGGATCAACATCTAGGTTTAAGACACGTGGATTGAAGAGAAAAAGCTTCAGGCAAGAAAAGACCGAAAAAGATCAACTGATGCTAACCAACGGTTCGACTCTGAAAAAGGTTAAAGATGAACATCAAACACAAAACAAAGAAGCTGGCAACTTACATAGGAAGGGAAGAAAACCAAGAGGACGAGGAAGTGCCCCAGAAAATAGTCAACTTAAGAACAATAGTAGTAAGTATATGATTTTAATTTTTACTTTTGTTTAAAATTAGTGCTAAAAAGAGAATTAATTGAAAACTATTTGTAGGGTTATTGAGCATTGTCTCCACGGTAAGCAAGCTTTTTCAAAGTTGTATAAAGTCACCTGAGCTATATGAAGTACTACAACTTTAGTTCATGCCAGTTCTGAAGAAATATGTGTTCATATATTTAGACAGGTATACCAAGTTACAAGAGATACAACATAAAATTTAAGAAATCTGTTGGAATATATAAATATTTATTATTCAGAACTGATATGCATATATTTTTAAGATGGCTACTATCAGTTGATCTCATACATCTTATTTCTTTTAAATAATGTATTTGCAAAAATATTCTGGTAAACCATCTGTCTGTAGTATAAACGTAATCAACCATTTGGTGGTTATAATGGTAACTTGTTTGTTATGGGAAAGTGGTGCAACTAACTTGTTCTAAGAAAGAAAATAATCACAGGTATACTGATTCAGGACATCGTACCTTTCCAGTGGAGTGAGGGTAACAAATACAGCTACAACATGATAAGTATGTAAAATAATTGTAAAGGAAAAAAAAAAGTGTGGTCAACATTCTCTTCAAATGACCTAGATCACTTGGACATTGACCAGATACTTATTTGTTCTATACACTAATTTTAACCATGTAATACAGTACGATATGTTATTTGTATATTTTAAAATTAAAAACAGGAGTTGTTTATTTATAAATGCAGCACTGGAAAATTGTTTATCTATAAACACTGCAGTGGGAGGTTTGTTTATCTATAAACACTGCAGTGGGAGGTTTGTTTATCTATAAAC